TCTCTCTTAAATGCATTGAATTCAAAGTCGAAAAACGAGATTAACATTAGCTTTGAAACGAAATTTGGAAATAAAAAATTGTAAGAAAAAGTTTAAATAAATTGTTATTTAGTTTCCTTTTGTGCGTTACTTTTAACGTGTATTTAGCACTTAATTAAATGTTAGGCAACACATGAAATGTCACAATAAATCCATTCATAAAATCGGTCCAAAAATACATTTTAAATAAATTTTTGCACCAAAAGAAATCTCTAAATAAATTTGTTTTGATATTTAATCTTTTTATTTGTTGCAAAAAAATATTTTTTATCACTCGTTTGATCGCATAATATATTTCGATACCAAATGTATAATTCAAACAAAACACTTAAGCCTTTCTAAAACACAAAAATCTCGTAAACGAATTCATTATTACATATATTTTTTGTTTCGTTTTTGTAAAATTATATTCAAATCTGATTTTTTAGGACAAAACCGATGAAAACTTAAAGAAAAATTATAATATAAACAACAAAAAGGCTTTTGTCGACGAAGAAAAGGGTCTAAAACTGTTTCGATGGTCGAAAGAAAGAGATTATCGATTTCCTATACGCCCTCCAAAGCTTAGGAAAAACAATTCAACCGAAAAAGTGATACAAAAGAGTCGTATTGGATATGCATCTGCTCTACAAACCAGACAAATACAGACCACTTCTAACACCACTTCGACACCAATACGTAAACTGAGAAAAGTTAAGCGCAAGAGAGTGTCCACTAATAACCAGGTCAGTCGTCCGCACCCCATATATACCATGATCTTAATTTTTGAATAAACATTTAATTCATTTCATAACCTTATTTTTGATGCAAATATTGCCTAATATTTGCTGTATTTCGCAGACAAATATCGATATTTTTGAGTTGCAGTCTTCAGACCACTCGCCGTCGTTTGCATTCTTTGCCCCGAAGAGGATCGCATCCAAGAGCCGAATCAGTGGCCAAATACTGTTGGGAACCGTTATTAGCAAACCCGTGAACGCGACCCGAAAAAGGATTCCCAAACTATTGCTGCCGAAGAGTCTGCGGCCGGCGATGTATAGTTTGGACGGCTTTGTGCCGCGACCTTCAATCAATCGGATCACATCCACCGAAGCGCCCACTACTGAAAGGCAGATGAAATACACACAAAATAGGATCAAAAAGATAAACCAAGTCAATAAAATCAGACGAGTAATTCATTTTACCATTAAATTGCTAGTTTTTTATTGAAATATTATCTCATTTTGTTTGTGTTTTCTAAGTTTGGTATTAATCGTAACGCAATTGAAGAGCGAAATCCCGATAAGAGGGATGATATCGAAGTGAGTGATAGTCGACGGCGTAATGTTGTGACCAAACGAAAGAGCCATCAATTGCTGACGGCATCCAATTCCATACCGAAGCCGACCGTCAATAAGCTGTCAAAGGATAGCCGCAAAGGACTCGCCGGCAAAGACTACCCGACACTGGCGTCGGTGCCGAAGACCGGCTTCGAGTGCAAAGACATGATGAATGGCGTGTTCGCTGACGTCGAGACCGGGTGTCAGGTTTGGCACATCTGTCAGAATCGATACAAACATTCATTCTTGTGTCCAAATGGCACCATATTTAACGAGAAGAATGGTATCTGTGATTGGTGGTAAGTGATCTAGGGCAGGGGTTGGGGCAGGGGTTCACCCAGACTCAACACCTACCGCATACATTCCACACCAACATTACTCATTAATTACTATTATTATGAAATTAAGATATTTTATCTTATTTGTTATTTTAATGTCTCGAAACATTAATTATAAACAATTTTAATTAAAATATAGATTTAATGTAAATTTTTGGATAAACAAAAAAAGAGTGATTTTAGTTAACCAAAGAATGGGAACACTTTTTATACATAAAAAGCGCATGTTTTAGAAAAATGAAATCATTATTCAGATTATAATAATAAATTAAATTCACACAAAATACAAAACAAAACAAAATTAATGCAAAATCAAATTTATAATTAAAATCAAAAGTGTTAACAAGAAATATGATGATGGTTTTTCTATGTATAATACAGGTATAACTACGATTGTCCCAAACTAATCAAACTGACCGATAAGGACGACTCAGACATGGATTCAATCAAAGAGAAACTCAATCAAAAGAGAGCCAAAGCGAAACGATCGCATCGTTTTGCATAATTATCATTCATATCTATTATATTTTTCTCGTTTCCAAACCATATCTTATTTTTTTATTATTATTAAATTTTATATTAAGTTAATTATTATGTTTTTTCTTAAAGCAAAAGAAGTAATCGTATGATTCAATACATAAACAATTTTCATGAATTTTACTTTTTCTCCTTTTTGTCTCTTTTACTTTCAATCCTTTAATTATAAAATATAATAATTTAAAGAATACATCGATTTTCCAATAATAATAAGAGCCGAACGAAACCACCAATGATTTTATAGTATTATTTTATTAGTATTTTATTATTATTATTGTTTTTTAATGTTATGTAAAATTAGTTATTTTTATTTTGTTATGATTTATAGATTATTTGGCTTTTATAAACGTTTGATGCCTTTTTGTTATTGTATTTTCTCATTAGATTTATAATCTCTCTGCCAATCAATTAAATGTAAAATAATTTTTTAATTTAATGAGAAAATCAATTTTTACTTTTAATAGTTGTCGATATGTATTGAAGGCTATATTAAGAGACAATTATAAATCACTTTCTTGATAGCTATTCAAACTGATAGTATAATTATAAAAATATATTTGACAATAAAATTATACAATTTTGAAATGACAAAACTTCCAAATAAAGTAAATTTTAATTGATTTTGATTTTATTATCAAAAAAAATAAAAGTATTTTATATTATTTTTATGCAAAAAAAGTCTAATTAAAATTCAGAAAGATCTTTACCATAGATTACAGTGAGTTCTTAAACAGACAACCAATTCATGAATCGTCTTAACTTTTCAATTGTAATTATTATTATATTTTATATAAGTTTAATGTTTTTAAGTAATAAAAGGCTTAAGAAATGTGTAGCAAATCTGTTGAAATTATTTAATATCACAGATTAGTGTACTTTATTGCACAGATTATAAGGATTATGTGATTGGGCTATTAGGGCAGATCAGCCGTCAAAATAACATATCTATAAATAGGTATTCAAAATATCGGTGACACTAATGAACGCATATAATGTTTGCGTTAATGTATTTCATGTAAAATACATTAAAACCCGCGAAATAGAAAAGATTATACTTTAAAATTCAGATTTTACTGAAGATATCAAAAAACTTGAACTGAAAAATTGATTTCAGATATAAAAACATAAACTTTTATTATGAATACTCTTATACTCTCTGTAAACACAAAATCTATTTCTCCTTCACATTGAAATCCAATACAGATTTCAATAAATAACTGCTAATACTTATGACATTTAACTCATAAAGAATTCATCTATTTTTTCCTTACCTTTTATATTAAACAGAATTTTGTTTATTTTTTACACTTAAAAATAAATATTTATGACTTATTTATAAGTATTTATTTTGTTGTTGTTGTATTTCTACGAATGACATATTACTGCAAATTTTTGTACTTATAAATTGATAACAAAAATGTATTCAATACTTATTTGATACCAATTTTTATTTTTGAACTCATTTTCCTAACATTCAAATGTAAAACTCAATACACAGTAAATATATTGCTTTCAAATATTTTATTTCTTTTTAATATCTAACCATTGATTATATACTAAATATTTTATAATCAAAATTCTTAATGCATTTCTATAGCAAAATTTCTGTTAAAATAATTTTTCTGTAAAATTTTTATTTATTAATTGAAATGTAAAACATTTGAAAGAAAATTATGTAATAAAAGTTCATATTTTTAATTTAAAATGACTATATTTTACATGATTTATGTGACAAAACTGTTGTCAAAACGGATTTATTGTTTGTAATAAACTTTTCATCGCTTATACTGTTAAAAGTAAAGATATTTCTGACTATTTTACGATGTAATGCAAGAATATTACAAGAATTATATTGCGATTATAACACAGACAACATTTAAGGCAACTTTTTGTCAATGAATGCATTGTTCATAAAATGAGATCAATTTAAAGGTCTCCCAACAGATGACTCGCAGTCTTAAAAAACTGATCCAAGAATTGGTTTTTGAAATATTGAAGAGAATTGACTTACATTTGTTATATTGAAACAATTGGGTAAATATATGGTAATTTGATTGACATTTTACGTGTTCAACAATTAACTTAAATGACTATTATTAAAATTCATGCCATGAAATCAATTTACACTTTTTGTGAATTAATTAAATATTTGTAAATTAATTTCATAAAAACCATTAATCTCTTTATTCCAGTTCCTGTTAAG